AGTGTTATTGTTATCACATTGTAATCGCATACCAACTTTGATTTTCCTAAAATTAATTGAAATTTTTATTAATAAAGACTTTTCAAGAGGCAAAAAAGACATGAATGGAAAAAGCTTTGGTAACAACTCAAGTATCCTTGGTTGAAAAGAATTGTAATGTTGATTTTTTGCTTAAAGATTTTGCACATTCCACTTTTAGACCCTTATATCTTAATGCAAAATCTATTCCTTTTCACTCTTTGTTTCTTTTTAAAGAGTCTAGCTCTTCTCGGGGGCAACTTCAGAGGGATCTTGGGCTGTTTACCCAACAATGATATTATTTAGTTTTGACAAAAATGTAAATCATATCACATACCTCGGGATTTCCATTCAGCCATGGTCTTTGAGTGGGATCAAGTATTGAATAGGTACACTCAATTTTAATGTTTGTTCCAAAAGTCTTTTTTCTTTTCAAAAAAAGTTCAATTTCATTTTTTTAATTATTTAGAAATCATTTAATGTACTCAGTGAACTATTTTTCTATTTAGTTTATGTGTAATTTATTAAAAGAATTTTTTGACTCTGGATGTTTGGGCGTTTAGAGTTAGGTGCTGGTTTGCTGAATAAAGGATTGTATTTAAAAGATTTGTATCACATCTCAAATATAATTCTTTTTATGACTGAACCACCCTGCTGTGGCTTAAGACTGCCTTGTTTGGTATATTTGTCATAATGTAGACATTAATTGTCTTAATGTGAATAAATACCACTTATGTTTTTACCTCAGGTGTGAAAATGGGAACCACTGACACATGGAAAAATTGAAAAACATACTGGAGATCAATATTTGCTTAGACTAAGTCGACAAATGTTATGAATGCATAAAGTCAGGAAGCAAATTAAGACATGACTCAAATTGTGACACACAAACAAAAATAATGAAATTGAATTTACGTTCTTATTTGATAGTGACAAATTGAAATATTTGATGTGGTAATATGCAACAAAAATCGCTAATCTCTCCAATATGTTGCCGTTTGTTCATATTGCCTGGGGAATTAACCATATTTTGATTCTTGTTCAATGAAATAAGTAAAATGCCCAAAACATAACCATTGAGGTATATCACATTGGAGTCAACCCAATGATCAAAGCAGTATTAAGTGATTTGTTGCACAACTGTTACAGGATAAACAATGTCAAGGGCCCTCTGTCGCCCCATTAATTATGAAAAAGAACAAACATATAGGTCTGCTGACCACTTGAGAGGGCTGAAGGTCCTTCAAACCTCTTGCCCGTGTCTTATCCCACCTCAAGCTCCACTTTCGAAACGTAATCCTGTTTGCAACAAACTAAAACTTGATCAGTTGGAAAATCAGAAGCTAAAATCATGAACAAAGCCAACTTAAAAGTAGCTAAAAGTTAATCGTGTTTTTCGTGCAATCTATTAACCCGTCAAAACTTATCATGATTTGGTTATAAGTTAATCCTATTGGTGAAAATGAGAATGGATTTACAGAAATGTCGTAAGCTGATCAGACTGAATTTAAACTTTCACCCTAAGTGTTAAGCTCATCACTACCCTTAATTAAAAGGTAAGAAATGTATTGTCCTCTAATGAAAAAATATTATTACAAATGACAGTTGTTTAAGTAAAGCATTCACATATAATTTATCGCGTTGGAGTCATACCACACAATGGAGTTATCAATTTAGGCACTGGATGTGCTTAATAAATTCCCATGTTGGGTTTTGGCTCTGTTGCAAGGGAACCTTCTGTTTGGTATATAACACCCATGTAACATGTGAGTGTTATTTCCCAACCAATATAGACTTATTCAATTGGGGAACAAAAACTTGATCATGCACTTATAATACTCAATTGCATTCTGATTTGTTAATCTGGTCTTACTGGGGCAGACTTGACTTTCCTTTGAGGAGCTCTTATGGCGGATTTATCAATACTTTTGTTGTCTTCACAAACCTCCAAAACAGACAGACTTAGTTAAGATTTAAATGTATGAACTGGTTAATCTTGTTATGAAGGTGTTGTAAAACATAATACTCAGTCATTTGACACATTGACATTTTTATATTGGATCTCACAATTGCTGAATTACTTGTATTAAGACAAGTCCTTTGGATTTACAAGTTGTCACCTATCAATTATAGAATCTTAAGAAGATATGAATGTCTGTGTGTAATAGTATGGCCAATGTGTGTTTGGGTTCTATGAGGGAGACCAAAGCAAGCTGTGAAAGTGTTATCCTTGTTAATAATGAATGTGGAGTTAATACTGGTCACAATTCCCAGGTGCTGATTAGTATAATGGTGGCAGGGGTGGGAGTTTTGGGAATTGTGGAGTGATGTCCCAGTTCATCATTCCTTTGCATTTTCATTCATTTCTAGACTAGAGTAGTTTTATGCTACTTCAAATGCTTCAAATGCATCACGCAGTATTTTTGTAGGTACTCAAAAATGTGTTCAGATATCTTTTATTTCTCCTCGTGACTTGTTCATTGACTGAATATGTTCACAATCTACCTAAGTGTCAACGCCAAAATTAAATGCATTTCTGAAATCAGATTGACAATTATGGTAGACTAAGTCCATTATTCAGGCAAAAGTTACAGGGAGGATTTTGCATAACATTGCTTTTAATTTCTAACTCCTGCATATTGTCAGAAAATTGTTCTTTTGATAATTACATTCTGCTCAGATGCATTTAACAAATTCTTTTGAGCACCTTGACGGTTATATGATATTACAAAGTGAGATTTAAATATATTTTTATAGTCCCTTGCAGTTGGGGTGTAGGTTTATTGCTAAGTCACCAGGCTTTTTGAAAATCCATGTAGAATTTGTTATTTTGTTTACTTATGGGTACCTTTGTATGGTTATTGATGTGAAAAGGTTACACCAAAGAAGTCATGCTTGGTTAAAGGCTTATTTCGGGAACTTGTCAGGGGATATCTAAGTTCCAAGTTTTTTAAAGTAATGTACATAATGACGAAACCTTATCTGATATAAATTGTAACTTCTTTTGTCACTTATGCTATAACAATGCCATGGCTTTTCTGCATGTACAATTCAAAATGGAACGGGATTTAGATAAATGCATTTTTGATATTATTTCATATACAAAATAGATAATAATATCTAGATAATAGATAATATTGTAATGTGGTTATTATGATTCATATGCGTTACGTTTGTTTTTCAAATGTTGCCCTTTGTGCTTTGTCATGAATAACAATGACATTTCGGTCAGTGGACTCTTTTCCTTAATATGAAGTAACTTGGATCAACAAAAAACAGTTAAGAAATACATAACTGCACGATACGGCTCCTTACAGGTAGATTTCTACAACTAAAATACTTCAGTGAAAAGCCAAAAACCAATATACTGTTTAGTTAAAATGTGGTAAGTAAATTCCATCTGTATTTGCATGGTCACAATAACCAAGGTTGTACATTCAAATAACAAGGTTAAAAATTATGAATGAAATATGTATTGTATACTTTAATTATTTTATTTTATATTATTCAAACTAATTTTGTTATGTCAAATTCTTGTGAGCGAATAAGAAAACTGACAAATAAACGTCTCCTTTAAGATGGAGTGTGGCAGATATTTCTAAAAACCCTAATAGCTGCCATCATCCAATCAGCAATGAGAGCACTTTGTAAATATTTAATAAGTATCAACTTCCAAGAAACCAAGCAAGTCTTGAAAACTAACTTAAGCAATGTATAGGTATAAATAATGAAATTAATATGTAAAACATGACTTTACATATTTTAATTAATGAAGTCAAATATCGTTGTGTAGATACGAGTTTGTTGAAATAAATACCTCTATCTCTACCTTCTGGTTAATTAAAGAAGCAATTGAGAGATTGTTGTCATAAGAAATTCATAAATTTTCTAACAATACATGGCCATTTTAAAAACTAAATTGGGAAGTCATCAGAAAGATTCTTAAGTCATATGCACTAAGATTTGCTTGTTTAATTTCTTAAAGTCATGAAAATGGACAATTTTTGTGTAAAGAATAAACAACAGTTTGCTTTTATAACCTTCTTGTGTTATTTAAGTCATATTTTCTTTGGATTCAAATACTTTCCTTTGGGGTCTTTGTTATACCTGGTTATATCTATAGTTCTGATTTAAATCAACTTTCTTTAGCAATGTCTACACTTTGGATTAAGCCATTACATAAGGCTTAGTTGGACTTGTGAGTCTGATGTGAGGCATGGTTATTAGATCTGACATATTACATTCAAATTAAGCACCATTGGTACTGAGTCTATTAACTTTTCAAAGGTTAAGTATCAAAAGTCACAAATTGTTATGTTTTATGCAGCCACTTAAGTATGTATTAAATTATCTTTGAAACCTGAAACCGTTTTGGAAATTTAATCAAATTTTAGAATGATTCATAATCCTGTAATAGGCCATTGAACTGACATCATAAACTGTCTCAATATGCGGTAATGGTAACTGAACCATTTTAACCATCATATTGATATTTGATGCTTACATTCAAAATATAATTTTTCTAGTATTGGTGAGCTCAGTACATGCAGTAGCAATCACTTTAGAGGATTTGTACAAAGTAAACATTTAAAGTACCCTGTCAAGTTTACTATCAATAAAACCCAACTATGAATATATTAAATTTGTACCGTTAAAATATGGAAAATTTAATGATTTTCCATTTGGATTCTAAGTGTGCGTTTGATAGCACAGCTTTTTGCTGGAGTACGCAAAGGTGCCTTTTTGGATCACATATTGTTATCTGCTGGTTATATTACCCATCTGCGTTTCCAAAAGAATCGATGCTGTTCATAATAAAATCTAGCCTTCAAAATCGTGCATTATTGAATTATATTTTGAACATTATCATGCATGTTTGCCATCCCAATATTACACAATGACTAGGAAAAGATTGAAACAAACAAAAATGCCATGATTTGATCTGATCTGATCAAAAATTCAATGTTGAATGAGATACTTACCATCTTTATTCATGCCAGCTTCACAGCATTTCTTTAGTCGGCACGCTCTGCATTGATTCCTATGTGTCTTGTCTACGGGACATGTTCCCTGGCCCCTAGACTTGCAGATATACTGTCTGTTTCTCCGTATGGAACGCTTGAAGAATCCAGCACATCTGAGAAAAACATCATCATTAGCACTCATCAAAACTAAGTATTTTTCGCACTTGATTTTATGCCCTATTTAATTGGTTTTGGTAAATAGCTCATTTGATTACGATTAATAAAAGCACTATTGGTATGAACATATAGTACTGTTGCTAATGAACAATACTATTTGTTGTGATACTAGAACTATTGGTAAACTAACTATTGATAATTATTAAAGCCCTGTTGGAAATTACTATATCACTATTGGTAATTATAAGAGCACTATTGGTAGTTATAAGGGCACTATTTGTATGGTTATTGATAAATATTATATTATTTATAAATATAACTAATTTGTGATGACAGGTCAGTTATAGATAAAAGTACTAATATTGTTAATGATAGATAGTATTAGTGATGTATAATGTACATGTATAAATTATGTTTTATTAAAACAATTATAATATATAGATAGCATTATGCCATATATATAATAGTATCTTACCCGTCACATGCGTAGATGCCGTAATGTTTTCCCGATGAGTGATCCTGACAGACCTTACATGGGATATCCATTAATATTCGACCTGAAATTAATAAAGTTATTGTGAGTCAAAAAAAGATATCTCTCAAGATTTGAGAGATATTTGGCAATTTTCTCATATGGAACGCTACAATATCGGACAGGGACAGTGGGGGCCCAAGAGAATTGTATAAATTGGGAAGATACAAAGACGGAATTGATTTTGCGATTTTTGGAATAGTTTTGGAATTTAAATGTAAAAAACCAAATAAATTGTCGTTTTGTCTATTAATGTTTATAAAGCTTTATGAATGGCTAGGCGTAGTTCCCATATCTTTTTTCGAAATTCTTCTTAAATTGATTCTGTGACTGTCACATGGTAGGCATAAATATATGTTTTGTTGAATGAATAGAGTTGTACTAAAGCTATTAATTAACCGGGGGACAAGGTTTTTTCTAAATTTGCGTGACTTCATCTTTAACTTGTCGCTAAAATCATCACAACGTTTGTCATCTGTGAAATTAGCGTCTGAAACTTGTCAAAGAAGAACATGCAACTTTTCAATTTTTCTATTCGTTATTTATTTGACTAAAAAAATGAAAAGAGCTACTTTGAGATGCAATTCATCGGAATGTATAGGGCCCCGTGCACATGGCTGAAGCGGTTCATTTAAATCGCTAATTGCTTGACGCTTCAGAATAGAGAAGGATAAATTTCAGCCTGCATTCATATCAGGGAATTTTTGTGAATTGTAGATGTCTAAAAGTTGAAGTCAAAAGAAGTTTCAATCCTTTTTGACTTGATTTCAAACCCATGACGCATTTCTTAAATAAATAATGAAACACGCAAATTTATTTTATGTAGTAAACAAATTATTCTTTGGTGGCAACAGCATCATCCGTCAAAAAGTGCGTCTATGGTAGGTTTTCAAACTGAGTTAATTCTAAGGCATACAATTTTTAGAACTGCACCACATTATTAGAGAGATTAATGTTCTTTTCATTGTTTTCATATGGGTTACATTTATTTCATATAAATGCATTAACAATTCGCATTATTTCATCTTTAAAGGTCAGATGTCGTTCAGTGTGTTATGCAAAACCAATTTGCCAACTAGGGGAAGAAAAACAGCGGTAACCTGTCACCATTCAATAACGCAAGAAGATCACGACAGCGTTGTTTTAATATATTAAATGACATATTGACGTTGTCACATCATAAATTGATAATTTACCACAAGTTAAAGTTGAGTTTGTCTATGCGCCATTGTTTCATTCAATTATCATTTTGTTTCCAGCACGTTTTGATTCCCCAACAGTGTCTGTCTCAGCATACACGCTAATCATTTCAAACTGAGGTATGCTTTTTACTGAAGTTAACCCGAACCACAGCCATTAGGTAACTTATATACATTCCAGCGAATTAAAATAATGTTTTCTGAAGTTAAGTGGACCAATTGAAAATCCGAAACAAGTTTTTGTTGCATGTTAAGTCAAATTTTAGATGGATTTGATACAAGCTGCAGACAACAGTTTATTAACGCAGTATGAAACATATAACTCTCAAACTTTTACTTTTAAATTAATTGAAATTTATTATTCAGGGGTCAAATGAATGAACTAAATACTAGTGACTCTGGATATTATCACGAAAGTGGGTTCTGAGCGAGAGGAGGTGGTAAAGAAAGACACATTTTAAATAAGTATAAATGTAAAGATTTAATTTCGTTTAATGAAAAGGAACGGAAAATGTTATGAATACAAATCAATCATCTATTTAAAAGTTTGAAAGATCCTCGCGTGGTTTATTGCATCATTCTCAACAAGGTGAAGGTCTGTATGAGGTACAATGGAGCTACTAAACAACAGGTTGCTACCATTTCTGAATACGAACGCCACATCTTAAACTATTCGATTTCTGTAATGTTATGTCATTTTAAGAACATCCGCATTATCAAAGAAACAGTCGGGGCATCACAGAAAATAAATTAAGTTAATTCTGAAGAATCATATGGAGAGCCAGGTGCGATTAAAGATTTTCTTTGAAATAATTACCTAATTTAAGTTTAATGCAGTGTGAGAAAATATTCCCAAAATATTAAATTTCGTCATTTATGCTGTAATTTTGCGCGATATCGTATTTTTGAAATGAGAATCCCTTGCACATATCGACCTTATCACCTAGTGTTAAAATGTGCGACCCAGAAGTTCCTCGTGTCATTACATTCAATATTGTGACATTATATTGACCCTTAGGTTGATTTTGCCAAAATAAAATTGACCTGTATTGTAACCAGTATTGTTCCTGAAATATTTTCTTAATTGCAACATTAAAATTTTGGCAGTGGATCTATCGAATTTGCTTGTTAAGAAAATAGAAAACACTTGAAAAGTGTCGCTGGGGATGAGTAAGTCATGGCTCACACGATATTTTAGTCTTTATCCTCAGTTTCTCTCTCCGTTTATTTTATGTAACGAGTTGTTTTCCTCTTGTCAATTACCTAGACTGGGCTACAATAATGTTATTATTGAAATTTGATTACTTCCCGCCAACGTTAAGCCAAATTTGCAACAAAAAGCTTTTAACACATGACTCTCTGCCAACGAGTGTCACGTTATTATCAATTTACTTAAATATTTTATCAAAACTCGTTAAAGTTTAAGGAAAAAATGTGAGAGAAAGTGGTTGTTGCTTTTCGTTTCAGTCACCCGAATTCCCGACCCGGTATGCCCCCGTGAGAAACTCAAAAGTTGCATTGAAGGAATTTTCTCATCGGGATTTTGCCAATTTAAGTGAATCATCAAAGAACTATAATATTAGTTATTTATTTAACAAGTATAACAAAATCAATTCCAACAATGAGGTTATGTCATTGGTATAGTCTCTGGTAAGTACTACTAATACTAGCCTCCCATTACCCCTAGCTCCACCCAATCATCCACGTGTACTCTGGACTCCTCAAATGAACCCATACTTCATAAATCCAGTGTGGGATATCAACAATTGTTTCTGAGGTTCAACAATTTGCGCTCACCGACCCGTAATATGGATGTTAATTAAGACTATTATAAGCGATCAAAATGCAATTACAATCGATCAATCTGTTAAAGTCTCAGCGTTAAAACCAATGGTTTTGATTAATGATAATCAAGACGATCCATTTCGAGTTAATCACCGCCTCTACTGCTATTCATAAAGTTATTCAAACAAAACGATAAGTTTTTTTAAGATTAAGGGATTTAAAGACAGAGGTTGTCATGGAAACGGGATTAAAATTACCTGGCGGTTCCAGTTAAATAAACTTGTTCCTACAAACCATTATTTATTTTCAATAACTTGTCGTCTTAAAGTTGTTAAGAAAGCGTCTAACGGAGATTTACCGACAAGCGGCCCATCCGTTTATGGAGGGTCGAGCTTATGGGATTATACTCTGCAAACATTCGTATTAATATTCACCGGTAAGCACTTATGTCATTTCGCGATTATCGTCAACAAAATCAACAAGTGAGACAATCCGTTTACACTGAAGAATCGATAATCTTTAATTAATATCAATGAATCAATTAAATAGGTCTGAATAAAAGCGCAATAGAAAGCTAAGCCCGAGTGAGGAAGATAATACGAAGACTTCAATCGACGAGGGATTAGCTCTGTATTCAGGGATCGACGAAACTGATCTCCCGTAAAAGAGTCGTCTTTTAGCACCTGTCCATTCTCATCCTTCCTTCATCGCTAGAACGCTCCTAACTAAATTATGATTAGAACCACCATAGTCAATACCATATTCTATGTTTCCAATTAATTGAAGAAGCATCCATATTTCAATGAAAGTAATCACAATTGTCGTTTAGAATGATAATAGATCATGAAGTTTACCAATTATACCTCCAACATAAATGAAATTATTAAACGTTAAAATGCAAAATGTATATATTATTGTTAAACCTCGATAAGGAGAGGTATCGCTGAAGCGTAATGAACCGACCGTGGGTTACATTTCTGAAGTTATCTGTTGTTTTTCAGATGTTCTATATTCAGAAATATAGGTCGTTTATGACGTAACAGAACGCTAGATCATATATACCTTAATCATAAAAGTTCACATCTAACATATAGTCTTAATTATGATTTACATCTTTTGTGTGGTAGGTCAATGTTCAATGTGGACATTGCATGACTTGTTTGTGGGGTAAGATATTTCATTTGCTTGTAAGGTTGTTTAAATTGTGTCAAGTATACTTGGCGAATACGTTTGTTTGTCCTATTGCCTCATAATAGGAGCAGGAACAAATTTTAGCGTTTTTTTTAATTGGTGAATTTTCATAATTTTTGTCTGTAATTAAGTTGGCGTTTAGGTTGTTTTATTAACTTCGATTTGAACAAATCTGCTCAGGTGTCAACGCCGTTGTTTACCCTGATTGTATGCTTTTTATTTCTTGTACAAAATGCTTGAAAAAGACTTAAGTCACTTAAGAATTGCTGAGTTAAACTGATCCCCCTATCCTAGAACGAAGAAAAGAGGTGTTTATTAACATCGTCTAAGTAGATCCCATTGATGTCTTTATAAATTATTAAATAATGGAAGCGTATAAGTTATATTTTCACCTGCTCGAGTCCATCATATATTCCTAGAAACGCTTCCCTTTTATTATAAAAAATTAACAAGCTTTGTATCAACGTTTTGACTTAATTACGAAAATGTCGAGATTTTATTCATTCAAATGAATGGTTTATTCTTTTACTCAGCTTAATCAAACTATCGGAAATTAACTCAGACATAATTTGTAGGATTTTGACGGGAATTGACTATTTCACAAAATGATCTCTTCCGATATTGAGAATAAATGATCGTGTTTTAATAATTTATATTCAATCGGGTTGTAAGTGTCTATTCTTCCATTCTCCATCGATCAATTACGAATGAGCATCGAAGTAGTATTTGAGCTAGGGTCTTGGTTTAAATTGAGTTCTAGGACTGGTAGATCTATAACCCTACATCTCCTGGACCTTCCCTAGTGTTTCTGAACGACGATGCAGTATAAGGCCAGGAAACAGGGGCTCGATGTTAGACTGATTAGTTTTGAGGCCTTGCGATAAAATCGTATACCTTACTTCACATGTACGTTAAGCCAAAATTACCAATATTCTTATTTTTTAAAATACCAGGGTATGAACATAGATAGACATTTTAGTAGGCCTACTATAAGTTATAACATTTTCCCGTACTTTATAGAGCTTATGTATCCTGAAGGACAGTGCCTATAGTAGACGAAACGCTCTTTTCGAAGCGATATCAAACTATTGAAAATGATATCGATGTGCTTCAGTCCGTATTGCAATATTGGTTTAGGTACAGGTTTATATGATTTAAGGGGTTTTCATTACTTTGTCACTGTGTCTATTGGGCTTTCTTCACAAGTATCAAATGGAGATGCTATATGGAAATATGAAACATATTGTATTGTATTGTATTTCCTCATATGACTAACTTCTCAGCCGTCTTTACCCCAGAAAGGTACATATACCATTCATCCTAAAAAGTCACATATGTAAGATGAAATGTACATGTGACTTGTGAATTAAAGTGACGTATTAACGTGACGGATATTTATCTTCGTGGGAATATATGATAATTATTTCACCAAATATAATGATATAGTATTTTTTAGTCTTGATAATTTGTGATAATGATGAACTTTGATAACCACTAACTAAATTAAATCGGCACCTAGCAACCGATTGGGGATGTTTTGCGAAACAAGGAACAAATGTCTAAATTTAGGTTTTAATTTTCACATTTACTGTTTCGACTAATTTAGGAAGATTATGATTCCAGTGAAAGAAATTGATAACCACTAATTAAATTAGCTCGGCACCTAGCAACCGATTGGGGATGTTTAGCGAAACAAGGAACAAATGTCTAAATTTGGGTTTGAATTTTCACATTTACTGTTCAGACTAATTTATGCAGATTATGAGTCCAGTGAGACAAATTGTGTACAAGATAGATGGTTTATCAAGTTTTTACCTTTTTGATTGTTCAAAAAATCATGTCAAAAAGGTAAAACTCATTGTTTTGCCTGCGACACATCACAGATATACATACGCTGTAATTTACCTCGCATATTAACAAAAATTATATAACAACGCCAAACTAAAACGTAAATTTCGTAATTTATTTCGCATATTTGAATCAGGTTTACGCATGAATATGTAAATGTCCACTGAGTTTTTTCGCCTTAACCGAAAACCCAGCGATCTTGTTGATTATTGTACGCACCTTTTGGCTTTTAACTTAGAAGTCAATGTTAAGTACAATTAGATTATATAAAACGAGGCTTTATTACAGGCCACAAAGATATAAACACAGTGTTCATACACGGAGGTCCTTTTTAGCTTTTTCAGATCAAATTGAGCAAGACTGGATGTCCAGGAGGTGTAATAAAGTTTGCTTGTACCTCAAAATATCAAGCCAGATCCATTTATAATGATTTTCTCATTTTTTAGATTATATTTTAGAATAATATTACAATTCTATTTTATAGATAAATATGTATTTAGATTGAACTGCTGAAGTTGTATTATACATGTAACTAGGTTTATATCAATTTATTATTAGGATGTATTGAACTAGGTGATGATTATTGGAAACCTGTTACTTAACTCATTTTTGAAATATTTTGAAATAAACTATGAATCGAAAATGTTTTAATAATCTTCGACTAATCAACTTAACATGATTATTTGATAACTTTAATAAAATTTCATGAAATTGTAAAATTGTCGTAAAATTGTAAAATATCCTTACTTGATACGCCTGCCATAGTTGCTACCGCTATCTTCCTATTGTGAATAACGGCTAGACTGACCTTCTTCGGGCTGATGAATTCACTTTTCTGTTTCTATGAATCCTTGTGTAACAGTCACTAATACGAGTTGAAATGTCTTCAAGTGGAACATCAACGTGGGTCTCTACTCAAATATCATGTCATCGATTATGTCCACCTGATTGTCGAAGATCCAAAAGAAATCTTAACTTTTTAAGTTGATGCTCTGCATCTGCATCGTTTTTAGACGATTCCAATCGGTTGCAGTTCGTAATATCACAAGTTGATAAACAGTCTTAACTTATCTATATTGAATGGTCTTAATTCCCCAGCAACTCGTATATATATATTGTATTAATCGAACACATGTAAAATGTAAATGTGGGAAATACCTATACAAGGTAATTGGAGAACGCCGTTTGATTGGCTGTGTGATTATAATACGAGAAAGGAAATACAACCAATACGATTGATTTCTTCTGTATGGTGTTATTTGCATGTACTCCAATAAGACCTCAAATCACAATGCATTGAATGACTTTAGTCACAAATTCTTCGACTTCCAGTGCAATAATATTGGTACTCAAAGTTTTGTATATATGTTTACACCATATCGAAATTCGAATGAAGATATAAGGTCCCATCTACTACTTTATTTGCCTTTATATTGTCTCTTTTGGATTATGATGGCTTTTCGATTGATTTACAATTTTAAAATGAATTCTAATGATGCCATTGACCATATATTTTGAGTCCTCAAATACGCATTATAAAATGACTAAGGAACGATAACATGTAGTTTGCACTCATTTCAATACAATGAACATGTATTTTGCACTTTGTCAAAATAAAGCAGTGTATTTGAATTGGTCATTCTTGGGGAGGGGCTAATCCAAGCTGCGGTTTAAAAGCAAGTGAAAAAACCAAGTGCTTGTCCCTTCCCAATATAGTACCACAAAATAGTATTTTTATTCCTTTAATTGAAATAAATTTGCCACAACTATAGACGCTACTCTCTTGCACCTATTTAATTTTTGACATCTCTTGACACAGGTTGAAAACAGTCTTAATAAGGAAACGTTAATCGTGCGGTGATGTGGTAATCCATTAACAACTTCTCAGTGTGGAGGGTTAGACCTATAGCTGTTGGTGCATTCGAGGGAAACTGGGTACATTTTGATTTATGTTGACTTACACTCCAACTGGCTATCGTTCTTTAAGCCAAGCTATGCAATTGAGGCACCCCCAGGAGCAACTAGCAACAACAAAATCCCAATAGCTCCTACCTTTGCTATGTACATAATAAACCTTTTTTTATTTTTATGAATTTCAGCAAACTACAAAGTTCTACATTTTGAAAGATGCGGTATAAATGAAAAATATAAATACGCAAAACGCTATAAATAGTATTCTAACCACGGTAATACTATGATTAATACATATATGTATTCATTGACTTCCTCAATATAGATCGACAACATAAAAAGCCACAATGGTTAAAAGTTAAATGCCAAAAGAAACCAGTTTCCGACCAGAAACTGACAGATGATGAAGACTAACAGTCACTGACCAAATGTCACAAATAATTAAAAAATTAGAATAGTAAAACGTTGTTTGTAGACCGAACTTCCATTTTGTATAAAGGATTGGTATTTGCCATTTGAAATTGATATTTTCTTTGATTAAAAAATATTTTTGATAATTGAATGATGATTCTCTTCATATGGTAGCTTTATCTACATTGATATTTAGAATATAAGTAATCCTATGTTCTAAGATTGAATATATCGATAGCACCGGGTCACTATAAACAATAGTTTTTCCTTTCGGTTTATCATTCTTTATGTATATATTGAACAAGTGGATCAATTTTCCAGTTGAACAAAAACAAGAGATGTCAGAGATGTCAGAAGTGAATAAAAGGAGAAATAGAGAAATTCGCTTATGAATTTTAATTAATTCCAGAGTAAACGAAAGCTCCTCTGTACATTGCATAAATAATACTTTATCCTAGTTAGCAACTATTACTCTTTCTAGTGTCTATATGCTGCACATTAATGTTGAGCGTGATCATTTTATGATTTTTTAGTTGATGTAATTAAAAATGGTCTCAGTGATATAAATTCATTATTGTTATCACCTAAGAATATGCGAAATTAGATATTCATTTGGTTGTAGTTCAATTTAGGCTGATCTTTAACTTTACTTTACAGTCATTTTATACTGACACCCGGACAAAAGAAATGAATAAAGTGTCCAACCCATCTCATAAAAGTTTCGAGTACATCTTTTTGAGTTTTTAAATAGACTTATAAAATGCTCAAAAATAAATAAACACGTTAGAAAAGAAAGAGTGAATGAAGCTTTACAAATTTCTAATGAATTTTCAGTGACATTTGAATACATTGGATGACACTAATGAGGAGGTGCAGTGACTCTTCACCCAGAATGCACTCTGTTGTCTGATCTCTCAATTCTTATTGGTCAAGCTAACCATAAAATCTTTTAAATATCCACTGGGAGTTCTTCACTTTCTATAAGACATATCGCCATATTTGTTCGGTATTTGTAACTTATGACTGCTTGGGAACTAATGGTGACAAATATTATTAAGTCAGTTGAGAATCAATGATTAATGCCCCACTTATTCACATAGAATTGGAAATTTTAATAAAATTCAAAATAAATCTATATTTTGGATTAGGTATATCGAAGTCCAATTTGGCTCTTTGTAGTTCTCTGAACATACTTTTCTTCATTCTTAAGTACACAATGGACCAAATTAAAAAGAATAGATTTACAGGAGTATTTCACGACTACATTTGAATGGATTCGGTTTTTGATATCTTATAGTTTATGAGGAGCTAAATTGTATTTGTTTTCTAATATTGCCACATGAAATCTTATTTAGGTTAACATTTTGGGTCATAGGCTAGAATAACTAACTATATAGCTTAAATGATAGAAGATTGCCAATGGTATACCTATTAAGTGTTTATTAAGTAGTTTTGAATAAAACTACGGGATCAATAATGACAGATAAATCCGAAAAAGACAACTTAAAGCAAACACCTGTAGATTCTCAGAGACTCTACTACGTTACCTAAAGGTAGCTTTCCGTAAACATTATCCGCAAATCACTTTACGTCTTATTGAGTTTATCCTATTTTGCGTAGGGGGTCATATCACAATGTTCTAGATTAAGAAAATATAATTTCCATAGAGAACAGCACAAATCACTTGCTTTGATTTCTTGTTTCAATAAATCATTTTATGGACGAGTTTTATTTATTTGAAATTCCTCCTCCAACATTATTTCGCGCATACAATTTCTCTCCTGGCACGTAAAGCTTACTTATTTTCGACGATTTAAAAAAAACTTATTTATATATATTTTATATAACTGTTTTTAGTTTTTGTTTTTTAGTGCAATTGTTTTTTGTTACTTTCTACTAATTCTTGAGAATGAAATAAAATGTCTTTCCGAACCTTGTTGGAACGAAATAGCATATACAACATTTAGACCTCTCAATATTACAGTTATACAAAGGAAATTTTGTTTGATTAAACAAAAGGTATGCAAAAACAAAACCCCCAAAATAGATAAAATTAAGATAAACATTTTATTTCATTAATAAGATACATTTTTAAAATCAACCAAACTTTCCTTTGTACAATTACAATATTTAGAGACCTAAACACATTTAACTGGTTTAAGAGAAACGCGTGAAGATCACCATATCGATACCACTCCTTTCCAAACTATTAAGTAAGAAATTAAGATTTAAACTTTTACAGGCTTTGATGTTCTACCTACTGAAAACTTCAGGTTGCCAAACTTAGTGAGGGGAGTGTACATGTCACTTGTCAATCAATCATCATTATGGTCATATACTACAGGGTGGGCCAAAAAAAACGCCACTTTTTTTCAAGACACCACAACTTTTTTATTTATCCAACCTACATACCCCAGATCTGCAGTTATATAGTGCCAGGGGTTCTTAGTAATAACATAATGTAACAAGTGCTTCAACTTGGATTATATTTGATCTAAAAGGGGAGTTCAATTGGTCCGCCACCCTAATCGATGATATGTTTTAGTTTTAGTCGCCTTGCTGATATAGCAGTATCAATGAAATGTTAGCTAAGTTTTTTTCAACCTGTCTTAATTGCCAGCTTTAGTTGAGCATCTTTTTTAGATTGGGTGCCTTCATACAATCTCCTTGTGACCTCCCCATACCCTATACTCACTGTTGTTTGCATCAGGGCTATTAGCTTGGCGATCATCAGGCCGTATCAGTTCAGGAACATTTTGCAAATTATGCTTATTTCTCATGGCACACCACATGTTTAAGTGAGACGCTGGTGACATATTTTATTCAAGTAAAAGTGTATAATTCATGATCCATGGCTAGATAACAACCCCAAGTTTCATTTGGTATGCAAATTATAATTTTATATCAAAAATTTAAAAAGTTATAGCATTTTGAAAAAAAGTGGCGTTTTTTGGCCCACCCTGTACAAATATGCAAACAAGTAAAAGTTACAGTTTTTCAATAATTGTCTTACACCATCAGCATCTTGTTTTAATAAATTCTATGCTTTCAAGATAACTGTTATACATAATTTGAAAAAGATTTACTGGACAGACCTTTTCCATATTCACACTTGCAACGACTCTTCTTCCTTGAGTTTACATCAATGATATTTAATAAGATTAGTCTCATTTTTGTTTTCATCTAATTTAATTTGTGCTTTAAAATTATTGAATTCTCTTTCTTCATTTTCTTCTTTCTCTGGCATTTAAAAAAAATCAATCTCGATAATGTGTACGTAGGACCTCGTTAATAGTTGCATCTTTTTTTCAGTGTGTTTTTTACACAATTACATCTCTTGGATGGCCTCATAGATAGTACTTTTTTTTATTGTTTTATTGCATACAAGTACTTTGCATTTTAACCAGTTCTCATGACGATCATGTCTAAAGCCAAACATATAGAATAACATCCTGAACGAAGGAATCCGACCATTTCCGTATGGATGCCATGCTGTAATGGAGGAGAAATGGCGGCAAACCTTGAAGATGTCCTATAAACAGTTATTTTATATTTGGAAAGTATACACTTTATTTACCTCGTGCTGGCCTGTGACCCAGTGCACTGATGCAAGACACTATCCTTGATTAGATTTGTCATGTTAGAAACATCCATACTTAAAAGTGAAACAGATTCGGAATGTTTCCCGTTTGAAATACTCAATTATACAAGGGGACACTAGGGGATGACCCTGTCAATGTACCTGTTGTGATGAATCAAGAAATTGTTGGTTGTCAAACGTATAAACCGAGGTTTTAAAGAAAA